GCGCCTAAAACACAATATAAACATTGTTTCGCCGTTGTCACTTACCCAGTAGGTCATAACAATAAAACTGACAATTGTCATACGACAGCTTAAAATAAATTTGTGGCATAGTATTAGGCGCAGTAGTAAAGGCAATAGTCAGCCGCTGAGTTTTGTCAGGGTGTGGGAACAGGGCGGTTAGTGCATTTTTGACGTGGTAATTGCTCATAGAAAACAACGAAATTTAACAAAAGTTTTTTGTTTATAACTTTTAAATGGTTACTAATATTAGCCCTCCCCCTCCGGATTGTTAATAGGGACCTTTTTTAGCGGTTGTTACCCTATACTAGAGAATAACCCTTAGTTATATGCAACTAAAAAGTTTACTTAGTTTTTATGCGAAAAGTTTACCATTTTGCAAATTGTTCTTTTGTAAATAATACGTGTATAAACGTGGTATACCTTCCAAAATGTGCAAATCTGTATAAATTCACCATTCAATCGTGTGCTTTCTACTTAAGAATTTCTTTAGCAAAGCTCAGAACCCATTGTAGCATTGCCAACTTCAACTGGATTGAGGAAAATAAAGTGGAATCACGAAGAAAGGAAAATAGTAGAAAAGGGAAGCAAGTAAAAGCAGTGAGGAAGAGGTCGTCGTCGAAGTGTTGAAAATTGAGTTTCATTGAAAATTTGTGTCAAATAAAAAAATGGACGTTAAAAAGATTCGTTGAAAGTTGTTAAACTAATCGTATACATACTTTTTTAGCAGTATTAAATAAAAAATTAACGCATGTTCGTTCAATGTAGATGAAAGTGTGAAACGAACGTGAAAAATCGAAGTGAAAAAGTGAGGCCAGCCTCAGCAGCAGCGGTAGAGGCAGCGGCAGTCCATTGAAAAGGTGAGCTTGCAGAAGAAAGATTTACCGAAAATGTAATAATGATGTCAAGCAGCGGTGCATTGGCGGTTGGGTAGCAGCGATGAAACAGGAAGTACCTGCATCATACTCAAAAATGTGCCGATGGTATCCAACAGCGTTGGTCGCTGTGGCTGTATAAAAAAACAACATGCTGCGCTATTGCGGCGAGACATAATGCCGACGTCGACGTAGCATGATAAATAGGCTCAGGCGTTGCTTTTGGTGATTTAGGTGCTTCAATATTATTGTTCATTCACATGTATGTTCATATATGAAATGAATGAAATACATATTAAAAACCTGTGTTATGCTAAAGAAAATAAACAATCGTTTAAACCAGTTACGGGGTTGATGGTAATGCCCCAGTACGACAAGAGCTTAAAGTTAACACGTTTTGTATTACTGTGGCTAGTTGGTGCAAAGTTTCCGCCTCTTCGAATGGATACATACATACATATATACATTTTATGTATATGTAAGTATGTATGCATCATGGCACAGTGTGGATGACTACGTGCCACAATGACGCGCCGCTTAGCTACTGAAATGCACCACCAATGCATTACATATGCGTCGGCGCATTTTCCATCGCCGCTTTCTTCATTTTGATTTATATCAACTTACATATGTACATACATACATAAGTTGATAGGTTATATGTAGATAGCATATTTTATTTTTGTGGTTTTGATTCATAATAATTTTCCTTTGTTTATTTTATAAATGTTTGCCCCTATAATCCACCATGATTTCCATTATTTTTTAATTACTTTCAGCGCCTACGAATTCCCTTTCTATTCCACCTGCTTTTCGCTTAATTGATGCACTTCAACATATGTATTTTTGTTAGTAATTTAAGCTCATAAGTTAATAATTATGTAGTGTCCCAGCGACAACTCCATTTTTAATTCATTACCTTTTCATGTATTTTACTAATTACATTTTTTTAACTGTTCTCTTCCTTTTTTAGATTGATAGACCAATTAAAAAATTTCGTGTCCGGCGAATACGAAGAGAGATAAACGAAACGATAACAAGTGGGTAGTGTATAATTTGGACAAAACAAAGTGTGTGAAAAGGTAGAGGAAAGAAACTGTTCATGTACTATATTGAGGGAGTGCGTGCGCCGCATGCAAAACACATTGTTCGCTGATCAGTATAACACTGCTTATCAAGTGAGGGCCGCAGCAATAAAATTTAATAACAGCAGTTATCGTCTATCGTGTTGGCCACAGCGATGGCTGTAAAAGTGCAATTCGAGATCGGTCATACGGCGAGGTTGCGCAGCAAGAAAACACCAGAAGGCTTCACTCACGATTGGGAGTTGTATGTGCGCGGTGTTAAAGAAGCAGATATCAGCACCTATGTTGACAAGGTCGTTTTTAATTTACACGATTCCTTTCCAAAGCCAAAGAGGGGTAAGTAAAGTACTTAACTACATACGCATGCATTACATCAGAATACACCTTTATACTAATGCATATGTATGTAGGAATGTATAGGAATAGGAATGTATTGTCATTCATGTACGTTTGTCATTCAACAGATATAGAATAACAAATATAGAATAGCGCGTGCAAATGTACGCATTGATGCACGCTTGCCACATAACTAACAGACACACACATAAAAGATAAATACATCTCACCATCACCCCATGCATGAATGAATACAAATACGTATTCTGTGATTAGGATTGCAGTGATGAAAGGGGTGGAAAGGTGTGTATATACATACTACTACTACTGTCTACTAGCCAGTTAGTTGAGTTGATGAGGGTGCCAAATTCCTCCTATAAGAGGGTGGTTGTTGACGTGCACAAAGGAAGTGTAGATCTGCTGTAGACAAATCCTTATTGACTTGTTTGGCTGTTTTTGTTTTCTTTTCGGGGTTTTATTTTAACGCGGTTGGGTGACCAATGTAAATTCTTGCTTCCTTGTTAACGTGAAAACCATTTTTGTTTTGTTATTTTGGATTGTGGTCTGGTGGTTTTTGGAGCAGTCGGTGGTTTTGGAGGGTATTGAAGCGTTTTATGACTTAATAAACAACCGTTAATAAAGTAGGGGAAATTACCTCGGTACTTCTAATTATATGCAATTGCAAACTATGTATATTGTAAACCTACTTGCCAGTTTTTTAGTCTGGCTTCCAACCATAGCATATATAGCATATTTTGTTATTAGTTCGTCTTAGCTGATAATTATCCTGGTAACTTACAAATCTCAAAACCACGCATTGCTCATTATCTTCTAAATATAAGTAAGTATGTCAAAGCGGCCTTAGTAATTAATTACTGAGGAAGTTACTGCATTAAGCTGCCTTAATTTGATACTTTCAGTACAGAACTTACTGTCTTAAGTGCTTGATAATGTAATCTTTATCCATTAATTGATGATTTGTCAGATTGGTAAGCACAAATTGCCAAATTCAGATTGACTTACATTTGTATATACATACATGTATGTGTAAATACATGTTCTTCTATTACTTAACTCAAAGGTAGTATGTGAATTTATTTGTATTGTGCCATTATCTAAAATCGCCCTCATATGAAGCAGCGCAACTCAAGAGGCGTTTTATTACCATTAATTGCTTTCACCTCTGCCCAATTGTCGTTCCTTTTAGTATTGTGATTACCAAATACATCTGCCGGAAAAAACATTTACAACCCTTATGATGATGATTTGCTTTGTAGATAATATTTTCAACACACAATAAAATTAATCTTACACTTTGATTTTTGCTTGATGCTTTAGTTGAATTACATGCCAATAAAACAATATCCACTAATTTAGAGATACATTTTTGTTTTGCATTTTAACAGATTTGAAAAATCTCCAGAAATGTTTTTCCGCCGGGCCCGGAGTTTTCAAGGGGGCCCTGTGCTCAGACTCCACTGAACATTTCAAGATGTTTTGCATAAAAATTATAGATTGTCATGATGAAAGGATGTAATATAGTACCAAAAAATTCTATGTGTACACATAAAACAAGTGAAATATTATTTAATTTCGAGCAATTTATTAGTTCAGTTGAACTCTTAGAAATCAACCCCATTTTGGCCGATTTTTGGCACATGCACACGGAGGTTGTTGTTGTTGTTGTAGCGGCTACAACAATCCCGCCCAGGTCGGTTGGTATCTCAGTCGTTGTCGTCAAGTTCCACTAACGGCAGCCCTAGGAAGCGTGCAGTTTCTGCGGGGTTGGTCCACAGGGACAAGGCCGTTAGGGTTGTCTGGTTTTCCGGGCATGCGAAGAGATGTTTCGAGTCTTGTGGGTTCTCCGCATGCGGGACACTCATTTGGCACATCCTCATTCAATCTACTCAGGTAGGAGTTTAACCTGCTGCAGTAGCCGGAGCGAAGTTGTGCTAGTGTCGTTCGCGTCTCCCGAGGCAGATGAAGCTCCGTCTCGTCTGTGTCCGGGGGCGGTATGCCTAGAACGGCATTCACAGGTCTAGAGTCTACATAACTCGAGACTGACTCCCTGTGAATGCCGTTCAGGGCCAGTCGGTAAGCTGTCGGGTCCAGAGGTTGCTTGATGAACCTCTGGACTTCGTCCGTCAGTTCATATAGATGGCTCCTAACGTGCCTAGGCGAGGGCTCCTCTGCGAGCAGCTGTCTGTTAGGGTGGCCACTTCTGTGGCTCCCGACCAGGAACTGCTTGCAGAGCATGATGTTGTGCTCCTTTACGGGGAGCATTTGCGCCTCGCCGTGAAGATGGTGTTCGGGCGACATCAGGGGGCATCCTGTCGCTGACCTGAGTGCGGTGTTCTGTGCAGTCTGTAGCTTCGTCCACTGCGTCCTACTAGTCCCCGGCGACCACACTGGCGCTGCGTAGTTCAAAACCGGCTGGCCTATTGCCTTGTATGTTGCCAGCACCGTTTCTTTGTCTTTGCCCCAAGTACTGCCGGCTAGCGACTTGAGGACTTTGTTGGGGCTCTGTACTTTATTGACAATAGCGGTTGCGTGCGCAGAGAAGGAGAGCAGGCTGTCGAATGTTACTCCGAGAATTTTAGGATTATTCACCGTCGGAATTGGTGTGTCATCGACGTGAATTCCTAGCGGTAGCCTGACCTCCTTCGTCCAGGTTGTGAACAGGGTCGCAGAGGATTACGTTGGGGAGAGGGCTAGATACTTTCCAGTGAAGAAGCGAGAAAGTTCGGAGAGATACCCGTTTACTTTCGAACACAGGTCATCAATTCCATTCCCAGTCGCCATGATCGAGCAATCGTCGGCGTAAGAGACAATCGAGACTCCCTCTGGTGGTTGAGGGAGCTTTGAAATGTAAAAGTTAAACAGTAGCGGGGAAAGGACACCACCCTGTGGAACCCCCTGTTTTAAGCAACCTCTGGACCCGACAGCGTACAGACAGGCCCTGAACGGCATTCACAGGGACTCAGTCTCGAGTTATGTAGACTCTAGACCTGTGAATGCCGTTCTAGGCATACCACCCCCGGACATAGACGAGACAGAGCTTCATCTGCCTCGGGAGACACGCACTACACTCGCTCAACTTCGCTCCGGCTACTGCAGCAGGTTAAACTCCTACTTGAGTAGGTTGAATGAGGATGTGCCGAACGAATGTCCGGCATGCGGAGAGACCCCACATGACTCGAACCATCTCTTCGCATGCCCGGAAAACCCGACAACCCTAACGGCCTTGTCCCTGTGGACAGATCCCACAGAAGCTGCACGCTTCCTAGGGTTGCCGTTAGTGGAACTTGACGACAACGACTGAGATACCAACCGATCTGGGCGGGGTTGTTGTAGCCGCTACAACAACAACAACAACCCCCTGTTTTATTTTCCTCTGTTTACTCGTTTTGTCTCTAAACATTACCGACGAATGTCGACCACTCAGATAATTTGCCGACCACCGTTTGAGCCTCCGTGGGAGAGAGGAGGCCTCTATATCTTCTAGTAGCGTAGGATGGCAGACGGTGTTAAACGCTTTTGACAAGTCCAACGCTACTAGAATCGTTCTCTCACAGGGACGGTTTCGGTTAAGGCCACGAGTTATCTGAGTGTTTATGGCGTTAAGTGCTGTTGTTGTGCTGTGCACTTTTCGGAAACCATGCTGATGCTTCGCTGGGGTCAAGTCGTTTGTGAAGTATGGGAGTAGCAAGGCCTCGAGTGACTCCGCTACCGGGGAAAGGAGTGTTATCGGACGATAAGAATCTCCTTTGTTGGCAGGTTTCCCCGGTTTGGAGAGTGGGACCACTCTCCCCACCTTCCAGATGTCTGGGATGATGAGAGTGGCCATCAGCATGCATATTCCGTCGGGACCCATGGCTTAGGAGGCTTTCGCCTTCCCGATGGCCACCTGAACTTCACCGCAAGTGAAAGCAAGAGGGGCACAGGTTGTTGGCAGTTTGTGCAGCCTTCTGGTCACTCGACTTGGCTTGGCTTTGTCCACCGGAGGATGCAGTATGAACTGCCGGCTAAGATAGCTCGCGCATCGCTCCGGGTCCGACGAAGCATGGTCGCCGAAGGAAATTTCGACTCTGTCGTCGTGCTTCGTCGGATTGGACAGCGACCTCACGGTTGACCAAAACTTGCTCACACCAGAGGTGAAGTTACAGGTCTTCAGATGCTCCTCCCACTTCTTCCGCTTATGTACGTTTACTAGTTGCCGAATCTCCGCGTTGAGAGCCGCTTCGGCAGGGAAGTTTGGACGTGGGTCCGTTATACATCCTGCCGGTATGAAGCCAGCTGCAGCAGCAGTGACAGCCCTGCGGAACTTACGTTCACCGAGATGGACGTCGGTTGGTGTGGGGAGCGCTGTGAAGGTGTTTTCGGTAAACTCCGCGTAACCTTTCCAATCATCTTTAGAAAAGTTGATATAAGTCCGGTGATTGGCGGAGGCAAAGTCGGTTGGTTTATCTATCGAGATGCCTATGGTCGCCATGTTATGCTGTTTATCAGACCAGCGCTGACTATGGTGATGTCTGGCGAGCTACTGCAGTTACCCATAATCCTGGTGGGTGCGTCGTCGTTCATTGTGCAGAATGTCGAATCGTCTATCTACTCAGCCAAGTCTGTTCCCCTACGATCGTTTGACAGGCTTGAGTGCCAAAGATCGTGGTGCGCATTAAAGTCAAATACTACCATACGGTTTTCACCTCTGAGGAGCGCACCTATATCAGGGTGATATCCTGCCGGGTGACAGGGGGTATGTATATGTTAAATATTTCGAGGTCAACATCGCCTGACCGGATAGCGATGCCCTGCCATTCTAGGGTGGTATCCCTGCGGTCGATGTCTGCTTCGATAAGACGATACTGCACGGTGTGGTGCGTGATGAACGCTAAGCCACCACCATTATCTCGCTCGCGATCTCGACGGTGCACGTTGTACCCGGCGCAATTCAACAAAGTTGAATTGCTGTGCACCTTCGTCTCTTGGACCGCAGCTAT